TAGCTATTGAACTATTTTATTTCTTTTTTGTAACAAACCCCAATTTTTTTTCGAAAAGAGTTGAGATACGCCAAAGCTATGTTGGGGTGAAATATTTCTATCACTAGGCTGACTATAAAAAAACATGAAAGCTGGAAAAATCCAAGATAGCGAACCAATAAAATGGTGTAACTTTTAAATTATCGGTCTGATTGATTTCGTTGAAATGCATATTCGTAGGATACCGCATGTAATTAATCTTCGTATAAAAGTGAAAAAATAACAACAAGATGATACGTGAACGAAAATAAATTTAAAATTTTCGAGACTTTAAAAAATTAGAATTTGTGGCATAGTAGCGGACATGTTAGCAATTTCTAATACTCGAATGGTGTGTCGAAAGGTCAGACTACATGGCAACTCCATAGCTCACATATTTGATTTCTATAGCGCGGTGATGGAACATGATTAATGAAATATTGCGAGCATTAAAAATTTTCCCCAATTTTACTATAATTACGAAGGTATACCTCAACAGATGGAAAATGGTGTTTTTTCTTTCACATTTTTAATCAAAGACTGATGTGACTATGTCTAATATTACACTTAGGTTTTAGAGGAATTTTGTCCAAATTAGCTGATCATATTCATACAGGGGGTGAAGAGTTTTTTCGATATAAGTATTGTTTATGGCTGACTTGATCATTTAAAAAGCAGGTTATACAATTTATTTAACTTATTTCTGGCAACCTTATCCATTTGTCAGCACAAAAGGAGCTTTCCTTCTGGGTATTCTGTGTTATTGTAAAGTATGGTAGGTGATGTAAACTGTAAGCAGAAGCTTTGAACGCTGAAGAATCTATAATGTAAGAAAATGTTTATTTTATATATTCATAAAATATAACTTATTAAATCAGAATAGTATTTTAAATATTGGTATTTTCATATTTATTATAATTTTGTGTTAATATAGTACATAATATGAACTGTTATTTTATCTGTGTTCTTTGTATAAGTATGTAATAATTAATATATTTCAGATTTAATAATTTTATATACATTTTTACGTTTTGAATTTTACGTTATGAATTTATTTTCATAATAATTAATGAATTTATAAAATAAGTGTTAGTCAGTGGCGATACCCTTTTGGAAAGGGCAGTTATGTTTGAAACGTGCAACTGAATGGTATTGTGAAATATTATATCAAGAAAAGCAGAGAATTATCTTTTATCGAAATCCGAAAACGATAACCAATAGTAATTCAGTTGAGTGAGTTTCTCGAACATTACCAACCTATTAATAATTTAGTTTTCTGTTTATACAATTACTAATAATATTCCTTGTGTATAATTTGCTAAAGATGCAATGTTGCTCACCTACGTCTAACCTACATTCACTACGTAGGTACAACTAGGTACGTAAAAGTAGCCTGTAGATATCATAACTCGTATGTATCGATTACTACAAAAATATAGAAATTATTAGGTATATTGAATATACAGTTATAGGGAACTCGACGTATTTCTTGTAGAATGTGATAAAATAGCCAAAATGAATCATTAATGTCCCATAGGTTTTGTTTTTTAATTATTATTTTTATTTTTTCCAAGAGATAACATCTCCCCTTTTAAGGAGAGGAGATGGCAAACTAACCCCCGGCAGAAGCACAGTCGGCCAGGGTTTAGGGTCTCAGGGAGAGAAACCGGCGTACAATGCGGGCAGAATCTAAGAGCACCACTTTTTGCATCTTTCCCGGGAGTGAGCCGCCTCGGAATCCCAATCGTCTGAAATGTTGCTCCAGACTAGTTGGGATAAGACCGTTCACCAACAAAACGATTGGAATGGAACATTGGACGCCACCCCCCACATTTCGGTCACCTCGTGAGTCAAGTCGAGATATTTTCATTTTCTCTCGGTTTCGGCTTTCACGAGGTTCTCGTCATGCGTAATTATTAATATTATTATTTATTTTATTTAATTAGCAAGCAAATACATTCAAAAATTAAGGATTTTTAGTACCACTTAAACCTCTTGGACTTGTGTGTGGCACTTTACATTTTGTTCTCAAATACTAAGTACTGACATTAATATTCTGTTGTTTAAATAAACCCAGATTCTGCATAAATAAAAAAAGAATGGTCATAATTGGACCTACTTTCCACTTATAATGAAAGCTGATGACCTTAACCAAGCTCCGAAAGTCATTAATATTCAAAATTACTAAACAGTTTTAAATCTTAAGCCAAAAAGAAGATAAATCGTTTAAAAATTTTCATGTTAACTTTTCCTCATTTAAATGAGGGAATTATGTATGCAATTTGTTAATTAATAACAAATTGCAATCGGCTTTTAAAAAAATTATAAATGTCAATACAAAATCATGAATGTGTAAATTTTTGAGAATTAAATTAAACAATTTTTCAAATAAATTTTTTTAATCAAGATTTTATATGTCTCTTTCAGTATACTACCTGTTAAGTTCTTTATTTAAAATTCATAGTAAAAAATGGTGAGATATGGTTAATTATTTAAATGATCCAATTAATTTATCATCGACTATATCTATCCAAACATTAAGAATAAAATCTAAATTTGGGTGTGGTCGGTTCAGCCAGGGTCGATCATGCATAGATGCATATGCATAGATAAATGCATAGATAAATGCATAGATAAGTATGCATTTAGAGATCAAATTCAGGTATAACTCGGTGATCTTGCATCATACATTAAAGTAATGGCAAAGACTATTCTCTACCTGCACCAAGTAAAAAATAAATTCATTGTATAGTTGGTGTGTTTATTGTACATTTATCTTTTTGAAGAAATGATATGTGAATTTGTTATTATAGTACATTTTTGACTTGGGCAACAAATCGATATGAAAATTTTGAAACGCTTTTATCTTCTTAAGGTTTAGATTTAAAATTGTTAATTGTTAAAGTATCTGCTTTCAATAAAAGTAGAAAGTAAATCTGTCTAATGGATATTTTTTTAATTATACGTAAAAATAGGGGAATTACATGGGATTGTTAACAAAAAATCGTAAAAACAAATATCTCAAAATTGTTGACTTTTTGTTTTGATACGGGATGTTAAATTCTATTTAAGCTGTTCTATTACGTCTTGCAACGAACGTATTAAGTTCCCAGTAAAACTAGTTTAAAATATGTAGGGTATCTAATTTTATAATTAATTAATTACTTGAGTATTAAATCTTAACTTTGACTTAACTTTTTATTTCAGTTGAAAACTATTTTTAAATATCTATAGTATTTATTTATATAGTTAAAATATATTTCTATTAACTATTTGTAGGCTTATCACATCATGAATGTGTAAGTAATTATTATATGTATATATATTATATTACGTAAAGTGACATATACGAAAATACTTAGTCGATGAATAATTTAAATACCAGCGGCAGACTGGGATGACATTATCCATCGAGGGGACAGACAACAGGCACGGTTCATAATGGAAGCATTAGCTGGGCATTTCTCATTAAATCACGTGCTTTGCAAAATGAGATTGTGCGGAGTTTACAAAAGTCCGGGAAATATATATATATATATATATATATATATATATATATATATATATATATATATATATATATATATATATATATATATATATATATCCTGTTGCAATTATTGTTTTATTGGTACATAATATATAATAGACACACCGAAATGATATCAATGAAATATTTACATAATGTTATATAATCATGCTTATATATTTTGAGACGCCCTTAGGAATGTACCATGAATGAATGAAAACTCTTTACCGTTTCCCTCAAAACATAAAAACGAGTACAATTACATAATAATATGTAGAGAACAAAGCAGCATTACATGGTATACCTTTCATATCTATTTGTATTAAGAATAATCAGTGCATGCTTTGTTATATTCAGGTGTAAAGGATCTGATAGGCTACGGTAACCGCTTACCATCAGGTGAGTCGTATGCTTGTTTGTCATCTCAGTGGTATAAAAAAAATCTGATAGAACGATAACTGATTTATATCCCTTTAGATAAAAATTTACCATAAAGATGTAATACGAAATTTTAATTCGTACTACGAATCGTATAATGACAATGCTATCTATGCTACTTATTACTAATTTTTAATATTAATCTTACGAATATTTAAATGAGTATAATCATTTGGTTTTATTTAATTTTTAACCAACTATATGAGACTGAGAAATAATAGGAAACGCGATAAGGATTACGGAAACAATTAATTACAGCGCTGTTAAAGCTATATGGTGATACACATAGCTAAAGTTATCTTTACGTTAGGGCAGGGTTTCCTTTGTACTGACCTACATGCATATGTAAATACCTCGAAAAACATTCTACTTTCCGTAATATTACTCAAGCAAGACTGTAATTTATCTAGTTTAGGCTAGTGGTTTTATTTCTATCTATTTGTTCCTAATCTATCATGGATTATAAAGATCTGTTCGTAAACATACCCAAGTATATTTTCACTATCAATGTAATATTATTTGTACATAATGTTTTTTTTTATAATATCATTGTATATTGTAAATAAAATGTGGGACATAATATGTATACGCATAGAACTATGTAGTTGTAAATATTACCATCATTCGATTTTACCTATTAAATAGTTACTTTTGGTACGGAGTTTCTTCGTGTTGTCAAATTTGTTAAGTCGGATTGGAACGAAATCGATAGATAAAATAGACACTTTTTATTGTTGGATTCACAAAAATATTTGCGCTTTTTATTATTATAGTAGTAGTAGTTTATTGGACCTGGCAAACATTGATTTGTTCTCTATTTGAGATCTACGGATTCATTTTTCTTATGGGGATAAACACTATTAATTCTACAAGTCAAATAATACACATTACAAAATTTCGTTAAAAACCATTGAGCAGTTTTAAATAAGCGTGGACGAATATCGCACACAAGATTTTTATAATAATTATTATCTTAAATAATATTTAATTTATAATAAAATAAAATTCACGTGACCTGTCGGTGGGCGTAGACGACGGAGCCTAAAAGTTTCCAGGTGCCTCCGCGCCGGTCCATGCGCACCATACGAAGTATCTGGAAGAAGCGCAGTCCTCTTAGCGCTGATGCTGCGAACACCTGCCCAGAAGAGCCCATACCCAGCACCACTAGCGACGCCAGGATCGTTGTAACATCTAACAGAAAAAAAAACATTTGTGTTCTTAAAATTCCTTTGTTGTGCAGGATTCATGAGTGCAAAGATGTCCAACTTAAGTTGGTCTTAAGGGTCCCTACAACCCATATTGATCTAGCAATTTATATTTCACTGATAAAGTAAATCATGGACTTCATTCATTTATCAAGCGACTGCAAAAAAGTAAGACATTAATAATTGAAGGCCAGTTGAATAATTTCGGGAGGTTCATTTTATTGTTCCCAGTTGGGATATCGTGCGGCCATATTTGGCGGTTAGTACGGTCTCGAGCGGGCCGGCTCCCCAGAGACTGGAATGGCGGTCGCACGAAACTATTGCCGCTGGAAGGAGGAAAATGCGAAGGTCACAGCAGATTGGTCGCACCTGAAATAGGGTCACTTCGTCACGGTTTATAGACGGATCGTGACTTTTACTTGGAAATGTTGAGAATGAAAGAACACTTGACGCGTAGTCTACAATATTTTTTGTAGAAAATAGGCCTTTTCATATTTGTTTGGTAGTTTCTTCAATTTTCTCTAGCAATTCTTGTTGTGATACTGAATTTTTGGAGTGAAGGAATTTTGTTACACTGACATTAGGTTAAATAGAAGGCATACAGATAAAAAGGGAAACATTTACATTCACGAGTATGTCTGTTTATTGGACTGGGCATTTTTTATGTATATATTTATAATAAAATAATAAAAGTATCAATATCAGTTTTTAGACCAAGTTTCGTTTAGTTTAAATTAAAATAAAAATCTTTGACGGCCTTGGTAGTATAGCGGTTTGACACATTGTCTCATTTTCCGGCTATTGCAGATTCAATCTCCGCATAATACACACATTTGTATTCATGAATGTGTTTGTTGTATTGATCTGGGTCTTTTATATATAATATAGGTATGTATTTCCAAAAAAGTATTTAAGTATGTTTATTAGTTGTTTAGTATATAATAATATTATATAATCATGGTTATAAGATCTGTTTAGTTTTAAGGACTTGATGACACTGCATAGAAATAGTTTAGGTTATGTAGATTTATATTATTTATTATGGACACTTATGACATGGATTTTTTGGGATAATATGGTGACTATTCATCTCTAGGGGATTTAAAAATCCTGTTATATACGAATCATAATGTGATTTACTTTGTATGACTTGCAAATATAAAGGCACTAATCCGTTAATATTACGCCCTCAATACGAGAGCTTTATTAAACGGCTAGCGATGCAAAGCAAATCCTATTACGATTCATGTAACATGGGCCTTATAAATTTTAGGAGTGAGAGGAAAGGATTGTAAGTTACGGGGACTAGCGGCCCCTTTGCTATCAGTGAATGGTCGCGTGGAGGTCGACCTAATAGGGTATTTGTTTGGTCTATCTCCACGCGAGCCTCCCTGGGGTAATAGTAGCCTGGGTGGGTAATTTTCGATGTATTTGTAACGATGGGTTAACTGACCTGCTTTCATCCTGTCCTATTATATCTCACTGGTGCTTTGTCAGCGTATATCAATAACAGAGGCGGGGTTACCGTTTCATTATTATCCATTAAAAGAAACCTTACGTTATTTATTTTTGTACTTAGATTTGACGGCATATTGAAATTAATACCATGAACACATCATTATTGTAAATCGCGAAATACGCTCACGTGTTGCCATTCTCTTCAGAAGCGAGGATAATGGTGCTATTTGTATATTGCGTTGGCTATTTAATTGCAAAATAGTAATATACGTATTGTTCTTCGCCGGAAAAATAGATATATGTACTATGAAAATTAAAGCAATTATAAACCTACCATTTCTACCTAAATATATGCTACATACCTATGATTTATTATTACCAGATTATAGAATGAGCTTCCTGTCGAGGTTTTTCCAAGAGATTACAGCATAGGATTATTCAAAACAGAGGTAAAGAGGTTTCTGCAGGGTCAGTGACGCGCGCGTAATGCCCAGTATTATTGTGTTCATAGGCTACGGTAAGGTCGCTTAACATCAGGTGGGCCGTAAGCTTGATTGTCACCTCAGCAGTATAAAAACGATATTTTTATATTTTATGTTATCTATCTATCCATTTAAGAGCTGCGCTCTTGTCGGTGGAGCTCTTGCCACTCACTACGATTTATGTTATTATTTTATGTTATAACTATGTATAATTTACAAATAAGTATATCCATTTTGGACTACCTAAAAAAGAAAACTAAAACGTTTTTCGATTATTTCTAATACAAATGTATGGACCAACAATATCCAAAACTCTCCCAAATTTGTTTCCAATCCCTGATTACTTGTTAAGATATACCGCTGTTACAGATGTACGAACAAAGTAGCACCGTAAGGGTCCTTTTGTACAATTTTGGAACGGAAATTGTATGTATTCTATATTAAATTGTAAAACGTAAAAGAGGTTTACGTTTGGGTGTTCTAATTTTGATATTTCCCTTTTTTCATCGACGGTAAAAAGCATTATTATGTTTTAAATTAATTGGGTAAAGGTATATACTCGTATATGTTTAAAAATAAATAGGTATGGGGAAAAAATAAATATTTTTACAAATAATAGCTGTCTATAAAATAAATATTACGTATTTCACTATTGTACATTACCTGAGTAACAAGTAATTTAGATATATTACGGCATAAAATACGTAACTCAAGTATTATTAGACTGCATCTGTCCTATTAAGGTTATCGTTTAGACGCAGAACATCTGTGCCTTTTATTCTTAAGTCCTTAGAGTGTTACGACTATCAAATGTACAGGCATAAAATAAATTTTATATCTATTGGAAAAAAAGAAAATAAAAATTGTTAGATCTGAATGGAAATATCGTTCGTCTTTCAAGTGACGTGATTGATGGACCGTGTTCGGCCGCAGGCATTTTTGGTTGCAAAATATTTGGTTATAATTTCTTTTTCAATGATAATATATTTTATAGACGTTTAAAATAATTATAGAGAATTACCGTTTTGAAATCTAAATTTCAGGCTACTTTATAGATTGCAAAAGCTTCAAGTTATCCAGCGAGCTATGGAGATGGCTGTGCTCGGAATCACTTTGCGTGATAGAATCTGAAATAAGTATATTCGCAGAAGAACTACAGTAACCGATATAGCCCGAAGGATAAGTAAACTGAAGTGGTAGTGGGCTGGTCACATAACTCGAATAACCGACAACCGATGGGGGTAAAAGATTCTTGAGCAACGACCTGGTCCGTACGACCTACCAGTGCAAACGCAGTTTAGGATGACCCCCCCCCCAATAAATGAAGTGATGTGCAGAGAGTCAGCGGATGCAAATGGCTTAGAACTCTTCCTTATGGCAATCTATAGGGGAAGCTTATAATCAGAAGTAAAAAGACAACGGCTGATATGATGATGATGATGTTGATGAATGTATATAATCCAAGATTTGAAGTCCATTCTTACATACTTTTTGGAAAAAAAAAATATATTCTATTATCTCATTACACTTACTTGTAATTGTTTATATTTATAATAAGTTTACTATTGTAATCTTTTGGAGAAAACAATAAAGAGTATTATAAGATAAGAGCCTATCTTACTTAATATTTATTTCTTTCTGGGAGTGAACGCTGATTACGCGAATAGGAAAAGTACCCACTAGACAGATTTTAACCAGGGATAAAACACTAAGGTAGTCTATTGAAGACAATAGTTTGAATCGTTAATAAAACTATCGATATTTTTTATTTGCCTTTGGGCTTTCTGAGACTTATATTGTGTAAAAGGCGGGAGTTGGTTGAACATTCACTTTATAGGTCGTTCCTCGGGGCTTAAAGTGCCTTTAACAGTCACCTCCCGGGCATAACAGTCAGAGAAACTTTAAAGGCCAACAGATCGCTAACAGTGACAAGAGTTTGATTTGAAAAAAGGCTGAAGATGTATCTTAAAAGATCACGAGTATTATTCGTGGCTTTGAAATGCTGATAAAACTATCAGCACATTGAGCATGTCATTGGAGGTTATGGTTTGGGAATTTGAGCATTTTCCTTTCAATTCTTACAAAAAAGAAAACGCGAACCATTTGAATTGTATTTCATGCATAATTATTGTGTATAACCCGGTGGTTCTTCAAAGACTGACATCATCTGCATAAATTATAAACAAATCAAACAATTTAAATAAGTAATATTTATGAACGATAATTTTAGGAAAAATTATTACCTAACATTTTAAATTGCTACTAAAGATGTTAGGTATTCATAAATGATATATTGGTAAATATAACTCTACCATTAAAAATCTATGTATTTTTATATTATATTTGTGAATGGTTCAAATATTTCGTTACCTCTAATAAAAATAAATATAATAGCATTAAATAACTCTAAATGATAAATGTACCTAATTTCAAAATATATAAAATTGTGTTCTCTTCAAATACTCGTATGTTTCTAGGGCTCCATACCGAAATGGTACAAAGGAATCCTTATGGTTTGTCTTTGTCCGTCCGTTCGTACGTCTGTTAAAGCGTTATATCTCAGCATGCTAATGATTGAAAATTTTTAATAGTTTTATATATCATTGGCCCGCATACAATAGAAATAAATGGAAAATATTTTTAATTAAAGAAAATAAAAATATTTGAGTAAGGGACTCTAAAGCGGATGAACAAAATATCAAAAGCGATTTACTTGTCCAAGTGAGGCATCACATTGCATTTGCACATTTTAAAACTGATTTTTAGGGTTTATTTTTATGCTGCGTACCCTAACGCAGTACCTTTCCTCTCCAAAGTTTCTCCCCCCCCTTTCCTCTCCAAAGTTTCTGAAGCGAAGAGTCTGGAATAATTACAGTTTATAATGGTATATGTGAATATTACAGGAAAAATAAATAGATGTTTTTAACTAGTACTGTTTTTGAGAAATTATCAAAAAACCTCCAAAAAGTTACGATTTATATTTATTTATAATAACTAATAGGTGTCAATTTCGTATAAGAAATGCAATAAAGGTCATTTTATATCATATATAAATATATATATGTAAAGCTTTTATATTTTTGTGTACACTTTGGCATGTGAGTTCAACTCACGCTTGACCAGTTTCTTTTTCATAAACGTCTCTAGATAGGAGCATTTTTATTTTCTTTTAATCAAATGTATTTTTTTTTAGAATGTATTACTTTTGACAGAGTTTGATCTATGTAATTTAGTATAGAATAAAAATATTGATCTTAATTCTTTTTTCTTATTTCATATATTTTAATTAAATAAGATAAAAGTTTGTGTGTCAGTCTACGATATGTATGTGATAGTCTAAACAATTACGTACACATACAAACCAATTTAGCCGTTTGAGTGTGATTAGGTAACGACGATTATTTGGATGTATTCGTACTAAATAATCTTTCATACTAGTAAGATTTCCCGGAAGAATAACAATATAAATATTGATTTATGTTATCATACAAAATTAATACGTTTATTAAGTCGCGGAACAGTAGAAGCTCCGTTTTGTTTTGTTTTGTAAATACCTCTATATGTAAGTAGTAATTTATCAGAATTGCGAGTTATATAAGCATAATATGGAGTAGTATAATGTTCCAAACCTACTCGTATTCATAACAATTAACTGAGTTGTAACTCGCACAAATCTGTTATAAACACAGCATTATTTGAATAGATTTGCAAATTGAAATTTAGTAAATTTAATTAATAATGTTTTGTATTAAATGAAAGCCTATTAGTAGCATTCATCGTACCAGGACTTGAAATATTTCGGCGATACAGTTTTAGAGAATATACTTACTTATATAACTAGATTAGAATTTACCCAAACGGAGTATGTGCATAATATATTATACACATATTGTGTTTGGGTAAATTTAGCCAATTTAAGTATTTATAGGTACTCATTTTAAGCAATATTTATTTATTTATATTAAGCACCAAAGGGAGATATTGTACAAAACTTGTTTGCTTAGGTACCTCTGTCCCATTCGTGTTTTTACCGTGAAGCAGTTGTGTTTGCATAGCTGTGTTTCTGGTTTGAAGGGTGGGATATGGCAGTGAATTTATAGGGTACAGAGGAATAACAACTGAATCCTCAGGAATGGCAACGCATGGGGGAGTATCATGGGCGAAACAGTATATTTTGTTATGTTCATGGTAATGCTTATGTCTACAGATGACAGTTACCACTTTCTATCAGGTGGGCTATCAGGTTGTTTGCCATTATAAGTTGCATAAAAACAATTTTTTTGTTTAATTTAATGTCATTCTGTTTGATGTAATTTGTCTTTGAATGCTACATGTAATATAAAAATAAATATGAAGACTGCAAATAGTAATTAGGTATGTAGTAAGTAGTTTATTGTCTATTGAAATATACATATAGATAAAAACTCACCGATTATGCAGAATGGTCGCCTCAAGAATTTGAGGCGACCCATAGAGCCTTGGTACCGTGATCTGCATCCTGATGACCATAATCTGAGAACAAATACAAATATATTAGCTAGATATACTCGTAGGGTAGGTCTGCGTGCCAGTCGAACTACTTAACTCAAAAATTAATAAAATAATTATTATAGGGTTTTACTAACACCAATATATTTTCGTAAACGTAACATCGAAGTTCATGAAGTGTATAATGGGCAACGCTGTATACTCTGTTATGTCCAAGGTACTACTTTCTATAAGGTGAACCGTCAGCTTGTTTGTCACTCTAAGTTACCTAAAAAAAACTTTATACATAGTTACTAAGGTTAAACTTTATGAACTTTTTTTGAAATATTATGAGCATCACGCTTAAAAGGTCAACTTAACGAACATATAGGTATTAATTTCAGATATGGTTGATTTGATTCTGAATTCTTATTCCTAATTCTCTATATCTAATTAATGCCAAAAAAGGTAATATTTTTAGAGCTGATTGAATAATGCGATTATGTCAAACAATATATATATTTTCATAGTTATTTTGGCCAAAAATTGTTTGTTACGATAAACATATATATGTACGTGATGAAAGTTAAAGAAAACAGATATTTAGACTGGGCGGTCGACCGTTTATCACGGTTCGTCGACGGTTCCCATTTGGAGAGAAATAAGCTGTCTGCCTATCACTTTGGCCGCTTTAGGAAGTAAATAAACATGTTTATTTATAAAAACAGAAAGTGGTTCTATACAAATATATTCTTTTTCTTATAAACAGTTCAGTGATAATTTCATCTAATAAGTTCATCTAAGTGTCATCTAATGGGAAGTGACGATAATGAGAGAAAATGGCATTACCATGGTTTGTAAGGACTTTACCTCCAATATGGTAGTGTATGGCTAAAGTAATATGTATAATAGTAAGCTAATAATACACGATTTTACGTGTTATATATAAAAAAAATCTGTTTTGAAATGTACGGTAATACCTCACATTAACTAGTAGTTCCACTTCAAGCTCCTGACACTTTTGCAAAAGAAAATAGAATAAAGATTGTACTACGGATCTTCACTTTTTGAGAAGTCACCATTTTGATTTGAAATCGTCCTTCCAGCGCGTCCTCGACAGTCCTTGATCGACAGTTCCACTTACATTTCCTCTTATAAATACTCTTCGTAAGACCCAACATTTTATTCTTTTGTTGCTTCAAATTGAAAGGAACGAAAGCAAATAAGTTTCTTTCTGTATTACAAGTTAGGATTATGTGTGTGTGTACGTAGATTTTTCTCTGATTCTAACTGAATTACCTTAATCTACAAAATTATTGTTACATTATTACATCGTTACAATTTATCATATTTTCGAATAATTTTTTTTACAGATTTTTATTCAAAACGAAACACTAAAATTTAGACTTCATTGTGATATTATTGTCATAGAAGTTTTGTTGATAGGTAGGTATAAAAAAATATTATCTTTAGCTATTTACTTACAACGAAATTAGCTTTGGATGTTTTCATTTTATTTGTTTAATAACATTAAATTTGATTTAAAAGAAATTATCATTATTTATATAAGTGATTTAATATTTTATTATAATGAATTTTAATATATAATATAATTGTTATAGGTTTACGTTTATGTATCTAAAGTATAATATATAAATATAAGGAAAAATATAAACTTCTAATGGAGAAATCGACGGAAAATGGTGTTCGTAAAAGAGATAAATAATATGTGTGAAAAGGGGTCTCGCGTGAAAGTGACATATAGTGCTTAGTGTAGTATATCCCATGGGACAATAATAGATTTGGGTAACGCTGTATTGTAGATACATTAATTATTTCAGTTGGGGACATTTGTAGAACTATATTTCAATATATTAATAAGTCACTACTATAATTCTAAATAATTGAGTAATGTCAGCATTTTATTTCCGAGAAAGTGATGTATTTTATTAGTATCTGAATAAAAAAGGATATTAATATGTAAAATATAAATATAAGCATTTTTTTAAATGTATAGGTATGGGTACTGTATTTTGCAACTTCGTCCGTGCGAATTCTTTTTTTTTAATCCTTAATATATATGAGATATGAATTAATAATAAACATACAATTAAACACACATACACATATATATATATATATATATATATATATATATATATATATATATATATATATATATATATATAATAAATCTAGCTATATATAAAAACGTTTTACTTCCATATTGATCTCATATAGTTAACATACTGATAATTTTATGGATAAGATAAAAGCGAATCATGAGGTTTAGATTTCGATTAACGAAACGGTTAGTGATTTTAAGTCGATCCTATCAATATTATTAAAAAATATAGTGTAATATTTAAAAATTAAACCGATCAAGTACAAGTTGAATTCACACGCCTAGGGTTCCGAACATAGATAAGTAATAAAAATACCTTTACTTCTTTTCTTATACGAAATAACTACCTAATAGTTATTATTATTAATATTTCTATTTGTTATTTATTAATTTGGGTCCAAAGAAAATAAAATATTTTATAAATTATATTTATTGCAATTTGTGCGGGATAACAATATGTAAAATTATTCTAAATGTTATTTCTATATCATTAGTAATTGCTGGGATATAGGGCAATAGGACAAAGTCGCACTATAAGGCTTGTACCTTTTTGGTTCGGAACCCTAAAAATGAAGTTCAAATTAAGTGATTATAAAATGTTAATAAGAAACATAATTAATTCAATAGAGAAAAATGAATCTTTTGAGAATCGTCTACGCTGGTAGGTAAGCTACATACAAAATATTTTAAGAAATATTAAAAGTACATATGTACTTTACGAGGCTTGACATGAGAATGTATATTGTATATTTTTTTATTTTACGTTATCAGTACAGTCAAAAGAATTATGCGTTAGTTCTTACGCTGTCTATTTATCTTCACGATGTATTTTTATATATCATGTCTAAAATACACATATTTCAATATTTAAATAATATTTACAAACATTTTCATATCATATAAATAATATATATCTACCAGAGGGAGACTTTATACAAAAGTCGATTGCTTAGGTACCTCTGTCCCATTCGTGTTTCTACCGTGAAGCAGTTGTGTTTGTATGACTGTGTTTCGGTTTGAAGGGTGGGATATGGCGTGAATTTACAGGGTACAGAGGAATAACACCTGAGTCCTCAGGAATGGCAACGCATGGGGGGTATCATGGGCGAAACAGTATGTCTCTGTTATGTCCATGGTACTTATGTCTATAGGCGACAGTTACCACTTTCCATCATTGTATAAATCCATTCCAATCCATTGTATAAAAAAATAAATACAAAACTTAAAACATCACCAAAAGACTAACTGCGGTTGCCAACTTGCCTGCCAAGCATGGCAACTACTAGCCTATGTTCAGTAGTAGACAGATAACTGGTTATATGAATAAAAAAATATCTATCAATATAATATGTACGAACAATAAACTTTGCGGATACCTCCAAAATAAATTTAATTGTTATAATAGCCGTGGATAAATTTTCCACAGTCTAAAATTGTAGTGAAGTAAATGTTTAATAAGATCCAATGCCCTGCTTTAAATGGACAGAAAAAGTAAATAAAAGGAAAATAATGGAATGAAAGCCTATTGAAGCGGAGCAATCCGTCTACATTGAGTGACGAATCACTTCACGCGCGGAAAGCTCTCCGAGCTTATCTACGAGTAGGTACCTATGAGTGCGTCAGTCTGTTACTGTGCTAAATTCGTATCTATAATATTAGATTATATAGATATTTTATGTGAATTCATAAGTTATTTATGTAGTATATTGTTCAATTTACAGTTTGGGTACCAAACGGTTAACACTAGGCTCCGAGCAGCGATTTAATAAATTGTCTGAGAATGTCTCGTTTAATGGTGTCAACACGTGTCGAAAAACGTGCGTGAACAAAATGGCAGTCGGAGATTGATGGCTAATACGGAGAATTGTGGAACTTAGTGGTGGATACTCTTAGTGTTGGCAGTCACACAAGTACTAATGGTAGCAGAATTAAAATAATTCTAATTCCACTGGTTGTTTGATTCGAATTATTTTGTTTAATTATATATCACTATATAGACTTCGGTAAAGCATTTCATTACTTAACGATAGTTTCTGTTAAAACACTTTCTCATTGTTTAAATTCCGTTAATAGAAATATTATTTAATCAGACAAGTAGGTATACCTATTGTTGACATATGTATTTCGGAAGATAGCACTAATTTATATAATTTGAAGATATTTTCACTAAGTTGTAATTTTAATTTTAGTACTATAGATAAACCAAGTCAAATTTAATATGGGCGCGTACGCGCGTGCGTGTCTGTGTGTGCGTGTGCGTGCGTGAGTGCGTGTGTGTGTGCGTGTGCAAGTGGGTGCATGTGTGTGTTTTAACATTTAATAATAAATAATCACCTCAGAAAAAACTCGATCGCAAACCAAATAACAACGACGGTCTCCATGTAGAACAAAACGATCCCAGCTTTCGCTTCGTATTCTTCGATAGTGGAGAATACTGACAGCGACAAACACATGAACACCATCAGGAACCTGGACAAAATACACAAACATGTATATCCTTAATTTAACAATCCATTTAAATTCCACTGTTGCAATGGGCCGGGTTTCTTAATTTAAAAGGAGGATATAGTCTACTATTATCATGTTGGCCTCGCTTGATATAGGGTTTTATTTTGTAGGTACATTCTCTTTCATTGATACTTTGTTTCTATACATATATATTCTATTAATTCATTTAAGTGTCTTGCATATTCGTAATAACACTTGATTACGTTAACCGTTTACACGCTGTTATGTCATGACTAAAAAGGAATGTCTAGTTTAACAAATAAATTAGGCACGCAGAATCTCTATGGTGCCGTTCTCTATTATTTACACTATAGCAACAGATTATATACTTATGTAATTAATCAAGAATCGATCGTTAGATATAGGTGCATAAGAAGTTTATTATTTCAACTTTTATATAAAAAAAACCTGCAACATTATTGAAGTACCTATGTTATTATGTATTAAATAAAAATGTTTTTATCCGTATAAATTCCTATGTCTTGACGGTGAAGAATATAATGTTTTACAATTTTCTTTTAAGCAATAAGGAGACAAAGCACATACACCAGTGCAAAAGAAGGGAAACTTGAAATAAAACTTTAAGGTAGTTGTTCATCGTGGTAATGTTACCTAGGTTAATATCCTTTTTCACTGGGGTGTCTAGTCACACAGTCTAGTAATGTGACATGAATACTATTCTCCGTTCCTATAAATTGTTTTGTGGTGACGGTACAAGAATAGAATCTTACCATTCCTTATCAGCCCTATTATATAGTGTGTCGCAAAAGAGAGATTCGTGCAGTGCAAGAGAAAAATACTTGAAATAATATACTATACTAAGTCTTCTGCCCAGTTATTCTTAATATCTTCTTCTTATAGGAAAAGAATTGCCTCGCAGTGGAACGTTAATGAGATGTTGGTTGTGTTACGAGTGCAACTTTTCCATGGTCATTATTTTTATTGGCACAAAATGTTTTGTTATTCTTACTGGAAGTTGATAACTATCATGAAAACAGTGTTGTTTACAAATAGCAAAAGTGGGTTAATGTCTCGGTGGGGAGGACTTACACAATCATATGATACAGGACAGCTTTTACACCCCTGGGTCGTTCAAGGAAGTTGTAGAACTTGGACTGTAGGCGGCGGTATCGCGCGTCGCGTCGCGTGGCGCGGTAGCTGAGTGGCTTTCCGAGCAGCGACATCCGCGGCGTCGCCAGCCGGTCGCCACCACTCTTACTCTCACTGCAACGACCACACGGGAGCGTCTCATACCTTAGATATACAACAAGTTAACAACAGAACAAATTAATACTCGGTAGGTATAATTTTATCCTATTCAAGTTGTTGAAATATGTTTGTGATCTCTAATTCTTGCTATTTTTAATTTTGTCAATTGTTAAAAAATGTGGTGTATTCTGTTTGTAGCCAGAATTTGTAATCTATGTTCGTTAGTTATTGTTTTTAGAATATTGAGAACTAGATGTATGAATAGTAAAAAAAATCCTAATATCATGTGGTTTTATTGTATATTTAGACAATTGTATAGTCTAGATGATGTATCATGTGTACAGTACAGTGAGTATAATAAAATAATAATTAAATGTACCTAATTTAATGTGTACATTATGTCATGTATATTCTATTCATGAAGGAAACTGAGCCCGCCAGAACCTAAATAGATTAGATATCTACTCTATTGCACGACAATTCTCATTCGTGAATGTAAGTAAATAACTAGCAATTCATCTAGTAGAATCGAGTGGATTATTTAGTAAGTGGACTCAATTATTTTAGAGCTACACACATAACTAGTCTATTTTAAAAACATGTAACGTATATAGTTTTTAGTTCATATTTTATTATAGTAACGTTACTGAGAATTATAACGATTTTTGTATTAATGTACCGCCCATACCAAACTATTTGTAGGTACATGTTATTACACGTGGTCATACCTGTATGAAGCAATAATTACTACATAGCATGTTTAGTCGATATAAGCTTAAGTCAACAGTTTGCTTATAAGGGTAATAAATTATGGATGTAAATGTTTTGATTCATCGGCAAGTTTTATTGATTTATACATATAAGGAATGTATTCTCAGAAATGACGAATTCGGTGTTGTAGCAGTTTAACACACAGCCGGACCTACCAATAGTCGAAGGCTCAATTCTCGTTTGCATTGGTTTAGGTATTTTTTGTATATAATAGCATGTATTTATAAAAAAAAAAAAGTATTTCTACCAGTTGTATAGTATTCGTAGTGCTTTGTTTAATTTGGGATTGGTTGGCGTTGTACACAACACCACTGGACGTCCAGTGGTATTTACTATTTATATTATTTACATCGTAGTGACATATTTAAATTTTACTTTATCATATCTTCATCATTTGAGAGTCTGAAAGCAAATGATAGAACAAAAATATCAGACAATAGAATATATAAAAAATGTAACAGTATTATATCTAAGTGCCTTTTGTTATTAAAATAAAAATAGAGTAGATCATAGTGCTTTTATAATTTAGGACGACACTTTAAAAACCCGTAGATGAATAGCTATGCTAAAGTTTGGTCGTCGGAACTGAATCGTGCCTACCAGTAAGCTATTCTGTGTCGGAGATTGTTCCGTTTATGTTGTGTGCGGTTTTCACCAACCACTATTAATGCCTACTTATTTTAATTCTCTTTACAGTTATTAAACTTGAATGTAAATTTCATCGTATATAATAAAACAGGGTATGTAAATGTTTTATACAGAAAGAGAATTAGCTACTAAGTACAGTTAGCTTTTTGTTCTTATTATCTTATTAATTAATATTTTATGATTTTAATTGAAAAATTAAAATTTCTATAAATATTTTATCCTAATTCACTCACACAAAGCGCGAGTTACAGCTAGCCTGTTTATAAAGCGTAACGGAAATTAAACAATAGCATTATAATGCTAATTTATAATTTAGGTACAAATATTGTTGTTGACAGACAGTTTGACGTATAGTTGGCATCTATGAATAATTTGCGCTACGCTTCATTATTTTAGATGCATCACAAATCACGACTAACATTAAGAGATGAATTCTCTAATGTAAAAATAAAAATCAGCAACAGGTAATATATAGCGACATAATTCCATACAGGGTTATACGAAGTTAAGCAAGAAATATAGTTTTAAATTAAGATTCACAACTGTCATGTTACCAGTATTTTTTAATTATAAAGTATTAATATACACTTGGTTGGATAGAAATAGAATTTTAAAGGTATTTAAAAATTGTGGTGTACTAGATACTCATTACCTCTACCTTATTGAATCTATCTATTTATACCTACCTAAAAGGTAAAAATGCATATACCTATGTGGTGATTATGATGCCAATAAAGTTATATCGATCTATAAATGTAACAAATTAATGTATTATTGGTTGTGGAACGAGCTCCCTTTACTGGCATTTTGCCAGAATAATACAACATGGGGGTTCTTCAGGGTCGGCATTTCGCCCTAATACCTTTGGTAGTGCTGTCACACAAAGACAACTGATTTCGCTCTGAATTAAAATTATCACTATCACCATAAATACCTAAACTATCTAACTTTATTCCTTTAGAATACATTTGTATTTTAGACAGCGCTGCAGTCTGATAGTTGTTCTCAGAGTTTTTTACTACTCTACGGTGATGATACTAACCATATGATAACTACCCTCAATAATTAGTCTTATTCAGATTGCCACAGAAAATAGGATAATGTTTTTTCGGATATATATTTAAATCATTAGCGCAACGTATAGCCTAAATGGCTTGATGGAATTCTACTATTACATATGTGAAAGTTTGTAAAGATGTTTGAATGTTTGTTACTAAATCACGCTTAAACGGCTGAATAAATTTAAGTGAAATTTGATACAAAGATACTTTCTATACAAGGTATCTAGTGTAATGGTTAGGCCATTACACTAGATACCTTGTATGAACGCCGGCAAAGCTGGGGAAACTAGTTAGTTGTATGATAAACCAAATTTCATTCAAATTTGTATTTTTACACCAAATAAAAACTTATTATTTATATTTTAGAGACGATTTCGTGACTTTGTCACATTTGCTTGTGTGAATCGTATTGGATTCAAACAATAGACTCAGTGATGCGTGCGAGTCGAGTGTTCGCAATAATATTAGGAAAGAGAACGAAATAGAAAATAATCGTGAGTAGTAAATGTGAGCAATATTATACTTTACTTAGTTTTGTTACAATAAATATATTATATATTATAATACATTTTATTAAGTTGATTATTATTTAAGTACCTTTTATTGAATAATATGCATGAAGCCGATTTCAATTCAGTTGTATTATTTTTTTGTTTGTGTTGTTGTGAAGTATCGGACCTCCATCATTTCTAAACCGTTTTCAATATTTTTTTTTAATCTGAAACGTCATACTTGTAAGTATAATCTTATTGTAGGTAATTAGTCTCATAAAATTTTTATTAAAATCGGTTCAATGATTTAGTTTTAAAATCATAAAAGTCTTTTTTTTGTGAAACATAATTTTAATTATTTATCTGACTGTCTGTTATGATTTCTCAAAGTAACTGTAAAACTGTTATATTTTACCTTACTCTCAATTATTATTATCAAAAATTTGATCTACCCGTGCGAAACAGGCCTGTTTGTTGGTATAGTACTCGTATATAAAGCGTTAGCGATCTGCCAACTGTTGGTTGTATCGTCGATGCTTCATATTACGCGTATACCCAGATAATATTCTCGTTCATACGAGTTTATCCACAAACTAGTTACATTTGAGGTTTTCAAGTACTTTTTTAGTCTTTCTTTTTTCTAAGAAAATCATTCTCACAAACTATTTTATTAGTTTTTCACATAGTAGGTAAACACAGTTTATTTAATTTTGATCTATAACACTCAATCCAATAAGAAGTACACAGAAAGAGACGTGCGAGTAAGATACAATAATTAAGCCACAAAACCGTGCTCAACCACATAAATACACTTTCGTTCACAGACATATCTGTACTAAAATCATGCCAATCATCATTGCCTAAATATTTTTTTTTTACCTTAGTGGTAAAAATAAATATTATTTTACCGGAAGTATAGACTTAGAAATTATTTCTATTAATGGTTTTAAAAAATACAAAAAATTGCATTTTTTAATACCATTTTTTCTTTGTGAACTCATTAAATATTGACATAATGAATTATTGGTTTAATTCTATGACTGTTCGTTTATCCAACAGGCATATAAAATTCAGTAAAAAATGGCAACAATTGCACTTTATAGAAATGTCTTCTGTTTATATCTAATTCGATAGTGTATCATCTACATTCTTTATTAGCTTGTGGACCAATATTAATTGTCGTCCCTATATCCTGGTCGCTGGTCAAATTTACCCGTCTTAATATAAGTAACGTGACTATAATCGATGTATGACCACATCGTAGTTTAATGAATCTGTTTTTACATTATTTATATAATAATAGCTATATTTGAAATAGATAAATTAAAGTGTTCATAGTTAATAATTATGCAGCAATTCAATAGCATCATAAACAAGCTGTTGAATGAGGGTGTAAGGTAAAATGTCTGCCGAAGTTTCGGCCTTAATTATTCTCACGCGATGAATATTATATTATATGTGTATATGTAGCTAGCGGTGAACACTGCCGTTATATTAAGGAGTTAATTTTCGTAGGAATACTTTGCTTTATGGACTGTTTCATTTATAGGTGTACAACGTAGGTGTGCTTTATTTCAATTTTGAAATTGTTCAGATAATAGCTTTTCTGTGATTCATTCGTAAGTAGGTTATTATAACGTTGGCTGCTATTGACAGTTCAATTTCATAACATACCTACATTTGGGACCAAATAGGAATTATTTATTACATGTTTCATTGTTTGTTTTGAGGTTACGTAGAATTCAACGTGTAGACAGCGTAGTGTAACTATATATATACCTGCTTACATACTATGTGGACTCATTTGTGTTAGTTTGAAATATTTTATGTGTAGGATAGTCATATATTAGTTGGTTGTTATGATAGTGATAACAATGAGTATTCGTAATTTATGCGTTCGCGTATTGTTCATTTTCATTGAACTGAAATTCGGAAGTTTGTACAATTATTGCACTTAAATGAAACTTTCTGATAAAGTGGTACGCGAATCTTTCGAATAGTAGATTGTAGGGAGAATTTATTTTACATATCTTTTTCTAAAAGT